CAAGTCCTGACAATCCCAGCAAGTCTTCTTCCACAGTGTCACCCAGCAAATAGCAGGTTATTTTCCTCACTGGACACGCTTAATAAAAGGTAGGAAGGATATCTATACTTTACAGAATTGGGGGTGGAGACAGTAAGGAGAAGCTTGTGAAAGCACTCTCCTTCAATAGGGAAATAAGAAGGTTGAAAATAAGATTCCTTGTAATGTGTGATAATAAAAAAATGACTGGTATATTTGTTAATAATAATAAATATCATTAAAATATATTTCAACAGATAACGCGTGCCAAATCCTATATCAGTAAGTTGCCTCACTGGGGACACACTTAATAAAAGGTAGGATATCTATACTTTTAAGTACATTCTGCAGAATGCAGTAAGGAGAAGCTTATTCAAGTACTCTCCTTGGCATGTGTGATAATAAACAAACAATTGATATATTTGTTTTGTGTGAGCATTCATTATTATCATTAAAATGATTATAAGGCAATAACTTAACCATCAAATATATATATATATTACACACATGTAGGAAACTGCTATTGGACAACCTGGGGACACTAAAAAACGATTTGATATGCAAAATTTTATTGCATTTCAAATATTACAATTATTTGCATATTCCTTGTGAAAAAAGGCTAATCTGACTTGATCCCCCAATGGTATAATAATGGAATTAAACTTCAGGGAGGGGTAACGATGCTCTGAAGTTTATTGATCACCATTATTTTAAAGCCTCTTGCTTATCTGAAGCCTTTCCAACTTGTTCAATTGCCTCACCTGTAGAAAATTAGAATTCTATAGTTATTGAGGTTTGCAATCGCATGACGCTTGCTTGTTGGTGAAAGGAAAATTTTATAAATCTGACACCCATAATCAGGGTTGGCGTTGGCTATCAATCCAAATTCACCACCACCATATGCTGATAATAATCCACACATAATAGTAATATTAAGTGTAGGATCAACAACAGCATCACCATACAACCTTCACTCCAACTCCACCATCCAATCTTCACTCCAACTCCACCATC